CTGTGATATTATGTCATATCCTACACTGTGCAATTGGACTTTTCTTTCAGCTTCTTACATTTTTTTCTAGAAAACATCCAGTGTTACTCCATATTCATAAATCACTTGATAAGGAGTGCACCCAAGCTCTGACACTCAACCACCAAGCCCAGCAGAGGAAAATTCCAGGCACACTTGGGTGTGGGGAGGTTGGGAGGACTAAGTTAGGCCAGTGAGCCCAGCAACAATACTAACCTCTGTAGCCACAATAGTCTAAACTTCATTATAAATTACAGAAAATAATGTGGGGGTTTCCTCCTTTAATTTTTTCAGGATTATTTTCTTATGAATAGAGTCAAACTCTATTTTATTGCATTACCTTTAAAATGTCACCTGACACTGTAATTTCAATTCCCTTCAGCTCCTCCAGTTTTTACTTTTCTATTAAACTGAACTATACATGCAAATTTTCTAACTGCTTTTCTTTGTATGGAATTTCCGATAAACTACTATCTAAAAAAGAAACTTTTTGTAGCAATCAAACCTTGAATTCCTCTTGTATGACACAACAGCAATTAAGGCATGGTTTTCAAAAAATACTGTATGTCCTTTTTCTCCCCCCTTTTGCAGCTTACATACATCCGAGATTTAAGTCAGATCTGCAGCAGTTTTATTACAACCTACTTACATTGCAATGAAGTGAACTTAAATCTGTAAGAACAGATATATTCTTTACAATTATTTTTTTGTAGGATCAAATTTTTTGTATATGAGTTGCATATTAGGGCAGAACTGTCAATTACAAGAAAAAAACAAAACAATAAAATAATTTTCTGTTAAACAGAAATTGAGGTGCAACATATGGTCCCTGTGTGCATGAAGTGACCATAAACTCATTACCTACTACATTGTTACATTATTATATTACTTGTGGTTTCTATGTCATTTTTAGAGAGAACTTTTCTGTTGAGTCCAAGTCTACACTGACAGAGATAGAATGTGCATAAACAAACACAGAAAAAAGGATATTATCACTATACAAACTAGTCATATCAGCACAACCATGTACCAGGGGAATTTACATCAGACAATTAAATCCACATTTTTGCACTGTATTACTTTAAAAAAACTACTATCTAAGTGGTACATTTTTGGGTAGGTATGCCCTGAGACCCCCACTGACAGAAAGTGGAGTGAAAAAAAGCATGCACAGGGTTTTTTTTATTCAAGTAAAAGGCAATATTCAGGTTCAAAAAAACAGTAAAAGAGACACATCGAGGGCAGAACAAGGAAATACAGAAACATAAGCAAAATTACAACCAAAACCAGTGTGGTGCACACTCTGCTGCTATTGCCCTGGCATACAGAGAACAGAATGAGTATTTTGCAGGTGTACAAAATGTGCCTGAAAGACAAGTGAAAATAAGCGCACAGAATCCACAATACTTCCTCAGAGCAAGAAGAAACTCTCATGTTTAGACTGTCTCAATGATGGCAAGAAATTAATCACAAGAGAGTAAAACAAGGCAAGAGAGTTAACTTGATAGACAAAATTTCATATGGTACTTGTACCTCTTCTGATTATCCCACACTGGTGATTTGGAAACACTGTATCAGATTGTTTCCCCTACCCATATCCTCTCACACCTTTTCCATGCTCATAGCTTTGCCAGAGAGATTTCTCAGGGACTAATCTTACTGGGGACAACTTCCTACAAATGAGTAGTCAGGGCAAAGTCAATTGTTTAATCTATGAACAAAGGTTCAGAATGCTAAAATAAGACATACATGGTGTCTGCCACTTGCTATTTCAGCTAAAAAAAAAAAAAAAAAAAAGGATATGTTTACACTGTTATTTATTAAGGTCCAAATTGGGGCTTGCTAATTGGCTGTCACGAAAAAACTTCTAGCACTTCTATTTACCATGTATTTCTTCTCTCAGGCTGTCAGACCAGCACTTTCACAAGTCCAAATTTCACTTGAGAATGAAGAATACGGCCCTGATGAACTGCTTTTTACTATTTCCTGCTGAAATAGGGCAGTTGTTGCAAAGTCTTATAAAAGTTGTTTAAGCACCCAAAAGAGAAACAAAACTGTACAAAGCTGCTATTTCCTATCAAAATGGCACAGCCAGCTTGAAACTTTCATTCTTCTGCGATAATTCTGTGTTACTTTATTTAAATGTAGCATCCAAAATTATTGATTGAAACACGTGAAAAATACTATTCTCCATTTTCCATCCAGTTTATGCTTCCCTTTGCTGTTTCCTCACTTCTTTAGGAACTGCTAGATAGTTCCTTTTATTGAGGAGGAAAAAAAAAAAAACAACAACAAACAAATGGTTAAGCTACAGGAGAAAGGCAAATAACTTAAAAAAATATTTACTCTGCAACATACTACTTCAGAGATGCTGTTTAAGAAATCTTAAGAAAAAATAACCTGCCTCTAAAAAAAAAAAAAGGTTTCCTCATAACTTATCAGACCTTTTTCAAATAACAAAGGTATGCAGCCTCTGCACTCAACACTCCTGTTCAACTCTCAAAAGTATTAGCAATTAACTCTTCCTGAAGTCTTTAACCCACCAGACTAATACTAATTATGTATTCTTCCTGGTCAAAGGACCAATAACTTAAAGCCACCCACTGACAGATTCAGGTCTTCTCAACATCTGAGGTAAAATGGATAAAATACTTTCTCCTTATCCTGCGTGAAGGCCATTGACATGATGAACCAACTTTTGATGGGCATGATTTATCCTGGGACCTAAGACAGAGAAAGTTAGTACTCAGCTCTTGCAGTTTACGTGCCATTCTTAGGCAGAATCAAGCAAGAACTACATGGAAGAAGTACTTGATAAGCTCTGCTTACAGAGCTGGATAGATACCTATCAATATAACTCACACTGCCTCTTACAAAGCCCCACCATATTCAAATGTGAAAGATGGTGTGCCATATTTCATAATCCAGATCGCATTACTGTGACTTATACATTACTATGACTGGTATACTCTACAGTAATACTCTCAAATAGCAACCATTCTTCTCTTTGATGTGTAAATATGGCAGTATTTCACTAAGTAAACCACTTCTGCCAGGCACACAGCTCCTGTATTCCCACTACCTAATATGGTTAAATTACAAAAGCAGTAACAGCAACTGCCCCTGCTTTGGACCCAAAAATGATGAGCAGAGGGACATGTAAAACTGTACTCACTACTTTCACTTCTGCTTAAATCCAATTCACCTTAATTCTTTTAAAAACAAGCATCTAAATAAACAAATAAAAAAAGAAGTTCGGCAAAATGCTCAACAATAAATGTCCCACTTTAAAAATGTTACATGTCCTGCTTAGTTACAAACACACAGACCAGTGCCATAAGTTTGCTCACACAACTGAGTAGAGCCAATAGTATTAGAAATAGTTAAAAGTCAAAAAAGAATAGCCTTGTAGGGTGCCACCACATAAACTAAACACGATATACTGCCAAACACTCAAGTAGACACATGTACCATTATTCAGCAAGGACCACATGAATGCATATGGCTCTCTGTTTTGTCTTCATAGTAACAAGAAGGTTTGTAAACAGACCTCACATATGAGGCAATCTAGTCACTTGAGAATCTAAAAATCTGCCTTTATAAAGAAGCATTCTGCACTGTTGCCACACAATTGCACTTAGATACACAGTTAAGAGTCCTCTACATTTGTGCTTTGGGACAAGTGCTGCTCAATTTTATTCTAATCCACAGCAGTGAGGTTTTAACCTGTCACCTCAGCCAGGATGTATGTAACTGCTCTGCCCAATAGCCATTGGAAAATAATATCAACACGAGAGACTATAAAACATTAAAAACGTGGATTATTCGATCAAAAAAATTAACGACACGCTGACTTCGTATCATACCACTGCTGCCTTTGCACAACTGAAAACCACAGTAATCTTAAATGCATTTACAGACGACAGTAGAAACTTCATAAAACTCACATGGAAAAACCCTCTCAGCCTATTCTACAATACTAATTTTTTTCAAAACATGAGACAAAGCAAAAAAAAAAAAACAAATGAAGAAAGTTTCAGATAATCCATACCTGAAGTTTCAGAAGTATCTCCTGACTGGAAGGATACGGAAAGATTTAATATCTAACTGTAAATATATATTACCCCCAGGATACACTGCATCTATCTAAATATGTCCACATGGTGCAAACCTAAGAGGCAGAGACTCTCCTATCTTTAAAGAACAGATGTACTTTTTTAGCATGTCTGCATATCATTTTCACTATCAAAATATTGAGGATTCTGTACCACATCCTGATAACCTGAGGATCACATTCCTCTGGCAGTCAGTGGTAATCCACAACAACAGAATTTAAAACTGGGCCCGCTGAATTTGTACCTCGTTAGACCAGTAGTTCTTTTAATTTAGTAATTACTATAATTACCCGGTGTCCCCAGAACTCCTGATGATGATGACCGAAGCTCTCTTGAGCTGAGAGCTGCATGAACACACGCCTCCACTCGCAGCTCCAGGGAGCAGAGAAGCACAGACCTACACAGTAATGCTTCTCTTTTGCCACCCTGACCACTTCATTTACTTCTTTCGTAATAATTCTTAGTATAAACTCATTAGAAGGAAGAAAGACTGTAAAACCCTTGAATAAGTAAGCATAAAATGCTTTATGCCTCCTCTATTATTTAATAATCTACAAAAACAGAGAGGTTTTATATTAAAGTTGGCTTCATTTAAAAATGAGAGAAGGAAAAATATTTAGCTAAATATTTCTGCTGAAACTCATTAGTATTTCTATTGGTTTAATTTAAAAAGGTATTTAAGAATTACTGTCTAAAAAACCTCCTACTCTTTAATGTTTGAGTAGAAGTTTCATTTCTGCATCTACCACGTAAAAAAAAAAAAAAAAAAAAAACCAAACCAAAAACACCTGGGAAAAAAAAAAAAGTTTGACCATTAGTGCCAACTAATAAGAAAAACAGAACCCTTTTCCGGGAAATTAAACTCTGATGAGTTTTATCGTTGTGCCGGGGCGAGCCCCGGCCGCCTGCCCACGGAGACAAGGCGTGCTGGCCAGCGGCCGGCCGGGACCCGCGGGGCCTCCCGCCGGCTTCCCCACCCGCGGGCCGGAGCTCCTCGGGGCACCCACCACCTGGAGCACAGACATCATTACGCTCCTTCCCTGCCGCTCCCTCACGCGGGGGAAGGCCGTGCCGCAAGCCAGCCCCCGACAGGAAGGTCGGAACGGGCTACGGGGCATCACCCGGGATAACCCGGGGCTTTCCCCCCGCCCCCCCCCCCGCGCCGCTTGACCCCGACGGCGGGGACACGGCGGGGCCGCGGCGGGGTAGCCCTTCGCCCCTGCCCGCCTCCCGGCGCGGAGCCGGCGTGCGGCGGTGTATCCTATGCGATATCCTATGCGACAGGCGCGGACGTGCCGCTTACATAATCCCCGCCGGCCGCACACGTACCCCGCATTACATAAGGGATCGTGCCCCCGCCGGCCCCCGCGGCAGCCCCGCCGCCGGGCGGGGGGACAGAGGGAGGGAGGGACCCGGCGGTGGCCCCGGCCAAGCCCCTCGTTAACCCCCTTCCTGTGGCGTTTACACGTCATGGAACATTCCCGGAACGGGCCAACGTCCCACCCACTTCAGGGAACAGTCACCGCGGCGCAGCGCGCACACGCACTCACACACACGCACCCCCGGCGCGGTGCCGGGGCTCCCCACACACACGCACGCCCCCCGTGTCCGGCGCCCCCCGCGGGGACGCGCTGGCAGCCAGAGCCAGACCCCCTCCCTCCGCTCCCTCCGGCGCCCTGCCCGCCACCGCCGTGCCGGGTGGCCCCGGGCGGCCCCCCCCGCATGGAGCCCCCCCGCCTCCCGCTCCCGGGGCGCCAGAGGCCGCGGAGAGAGCCCCGCCGGGGCGGCCCCCCCCGCGGGCGCCTCTCCCCGGCGGTGACCATGCCCATTCCCCGCCGCAGGAGGGGATTACGCAAGGCAGCCTGCTCCTCATCTGCATACACTTACAAGCCGGGTATTCCCCACATTTCCTAACGGCGTGTCACCGACAAAGGCCTGTCCCCGCTGCGTCCCCCTCCTGCGCCGGCTCAGCGGGAAGGGCCGCCGGCCGTGGTGCCCCGGGGACGGTGCCGGTGCCTGCCAGCGCCCAGAGCCGCCACCACAGAGGTGACTTACCGGTCCGGCGGTTTTACAGACTCACCGGCTTCCCCGGCCGCCTTGCCCTCCATTTACCCCCGCGGCCCCGGGCGTCCAGGGCGGCGCTCAGAGCGCCGGCCACAGACCCCGCGGCTCAGCCAAGCGCACTCTCTGCCGCGGCCCGACCCCCAGCCCCGCGGCGCCCCGCACCCGAGACAGGCAGCCGCCGGAGTGCCCCCCGCCGCCGGCAGCCGCCCCGCAACCACACCGGCTGTCAGCTGGTGCCAGTGACAGGGGACGACCGGCGGGCAGGGAGGAGGAGGTGCCCGCGGCAGCCGCTGCTGCTCACCTGGGAAGTCACCGAGGAGGAAGGAGGGAAGCCCTCCCGGTGCCCTTGTTGTTGTTGTTGCTGCTGCTGCTGCTGATCCCGCCGGGCGCTCGTGTTGCTCCTTTGCTGAGGGCTCGCCCGGAGTGAGGCGGCTCGCGGTGCTTCTTTATATATAAAGACAGACAAGAAATATTCCAACGGCCAAGGGGCGCCCGCTTCACGCGTTTATCTTAAGGCAGGTCATTCCTCTCCCTCTTTTTGGAAAGGCTCATCACCATCTCTCTTGACAGTGGCGGAGGGGCTGGTGTTGCACGGGGGAGAGGCGGAGGCCCGGGAGCCGCAGCCCGCCCTGGCCGCGGCGGGAGGGAGCGCTCCGCGCTGCAGGCGGCTCCGCTGGGCTATTCCTGGCACCACTTCCCAGAACAGAAGTTACAGGGCGGCGAGCGCGGAGCGAGCGCGGGGAGCGCGCCTCCCGTGACGTCACCGGGTCCCCCCGCGCGCCGGCGGGGAGCGATCCCGGAGCGGGTGGTGGGCGCTGCCCGCCCCTGTGCCCGTGCCCGGGGCAGAGAGGGGCCGGGAGCACCGCACGCCCGGGCAGGGCACGGAGGCAGGAGGCAGGGCCTCGGAGGGCGAAGCCGCGGCCTCCCCCCGCCGGCGGAGATCGCCGCTTCCCTCCCCCTCCCCCTCCCCGCCGAGGGAACTCCCAGGAGAGCCAGTCCCGGCTTGCCGTGCGCAAGCCGCGCGTCCTCCCGGCCTGAGAATTTCCTCCGAGGACGCGGGATCCTCCTGCCCCCTCCCCTCCCTCCGCTTCCTTTTGCTCCCTCCCCCAGCCCCTCCGCCCCCTCGCTCTCGCCTGGCCAGGATCACGTTATCTGTCAGGGAGAACAATACACCGCCGGGGCTCCCCGTGCCCGCCGCCGGCCCCGGCTGTACAGCTGAACCGGGGTCTCCCGCGGGCGGGGACCACTCCGACCCTCGCTCACCCCTTTTAGCACATGGCCCCGGAGCAGGGGGCGCGCAGCGGACGGGCCCGGCGGGGCTCGCTGCCGCCCCGGAGGGCAGGGAGCCCTCCCGCCGCCCCGGGCTGTGCCGCAGACACATGCATGTATTGCAACACGCGCTCGCCGCCGGCGCCGCGGCCGAGCCGAGCGGAGCCGAGCATAGGGAGCGCAGCGCCTTCCCCGGGAGTGACCGCGCCGCCGGGAAGGCGGGCGGGGGCGAAGGGCGGCCGCGGCCCCGCGCCGGGTAACGGGGATCCCGCGTCCCCCGCCGCCGCTCACAGGGCCGCTCACGGCCAATGGGGGCCGGGCCCGTACCGCCCGGCAGCGGCGGGCGGGGCTCGGTCGGGCCGGGCCCGGGGCCGGTGGCGCTCTCCCGCAGCAGCCGCCAGCCCCGGAGCCTCCCCCCACACCCCGGGACAGAGGCGCTGCAGGGGAAATACCCTCCTGGCGGGCCGAGGCGAGGCGGTGCTTGCGCTTCCTGGGAGCATCCCACCGCCCTCCCGCGGTGGTCGGGAACCCACCACCGGTGGTCGGAGCTGTCGCTCAAGCAGGACCCGACTCAGGTCCCGCATCGACACACGCCATAGGTCCTGCCGCTGACACCAGCTTTGAGTTAGTTAAACCTGGGCGCGGTTACGGGGAACAGAGTTTGTATTCCTGAGATTTGCCCCTGCTGCTCGGAGGGTGAAGCCCAACCGGCTGGTTCCCTCTCCCGGCCGCTCCGGCAGCGCGGGGGTCCCTTCCCTGGCCTCACCTTGTTTGGCTTTGCCATGGCACCGGCGCCCGTTCGGTTTTTGATAGCAGATTTTCACTTAATTTTCAGAGCAAAATAATTTTCTTTTGAGGAAGCCGTACAGCCGCACTTGCAGGCTACCGTAAGTTGATTCAAAGGGATGCCAACTCGCAGCGCTGTCACTGTGACACTGGAAGTCATACTGGCACCTGAGATTATTCCTTTTACTGACGTTAAGAAAAAAATCAGCCTCGTGAATGAAAAGGAATAAGTTTACACATAAATCCTGAAAGCACTGGATCTTCTGACTGATGCCAGGGCAAATAAAATCATAATTTCATAATTTTAGTAGCTAAGAATTTTAAGTTGTTGCTGTAGCTTTTAGGGACTAATAACAATTCAGTGCTCAGAGTTGGCAATACAGAGACATAGAATCTATTAATAAAAATCCTGTCATCCTACTGTGATCCTTGGTACCTTGCTGACTTTGGTGGCCTCTGAGTCAGGCTCACAGTGCTTCATTGTGCTCAATCCAGGAGAGTCCTGCAGTCCTCAAGTGATAGGAGCATAAGTATCTCATCAGATCATAATTTTATGATAAATTATGACTTCTGCTACAAAGAAGGCTTGCTCCTGCAAGAATGTTCAATACTAAGAGGACTGAACAAAGAGTTTCTTGCTCCTTTTTGAGTCTGTGAGCATGTCTGTCTTTGTCTTCCTGATTTCAGTATGATATGTGATACTGTCATTCCTGACACTGAGTATTGTTTGGCTGAAAGTATTCTGTCTGAGCAAACATACTGACTTTGGGCTTGTGATCTTTATTTGATGTCATGTCAGAATAAGTCAGTGGGAGATGGGAGTGCTTAGGATTTGTTTTAAATTGAGGTTTTCCCATCCTGTTGCTTTCCACAACAGCTGCATTTACCTCTGCCCCAAAATGATGGCTGCCAGTATCTTCCCCTCTGGGAGGCTGCAGACTCCTGACCAGCACCTTTGACTTCTTGCTGCATGCCCAGCATTCTCAGCTTTTCTCCTCCCTCTTGCAAGACTTCGGAAGTTCATTTTTATTGTCACAGAGACCAGCCCACAGAAGGTACCACAACAAGGTTCAGTGTTCAAAATAAGTTTATTGATAGTCATTCTCAAAGCAAAGTAAAAAAATGTTTCTCCATAAGGCTTTTCAAAACAAGAGTCTTTTTCCAATTATGTTGGCTATCTCAAGAAGTTGTACTATGTGTCCTTTCCCACATTCTCTTAGTATTGCAGCATCTGAGACACAGCCATTTCCTTCATTGTGGCTGTACAAGGGATATGCCAGAGCTACTTTGGTGTTTCCAGGGAAAAGAATGAAGCTACATGTGTGCTCAGAAACCCTGACTGTTCTACAAAATTGGTTTGACTTAAGCCCCAGAGCAAGTTTTGAAAAGCTGCACAACTTGCAGCTGCAAGGGTCCTTCGCTTGGAGTAGATGCTACCAGCCAAAGAGGCAGGAAAGTCTTTGCATGGCTCTGTCAGCCCACTCCCCCTTTGTGCACAGTTGTAGGGGAATGGGTGTAACTGAGTAAACTGACCTTCATCCCTGACCGCGCCTCTTTCCCCTCCCACAGGGAGCATGAGGTAGAAGCACTGTCCCTCAGAGGGACTGCAGCTGGGGCGCCTGGGTAGTTTTCCTCCCAAACTCCTGCCAGTGACTCCCCAGAGAAGCAGTAGACATCTGAATCACTTTCTCTCGCCTACTCGTGGCAACGACATAATAATGATATCCGTGCATCATACCATCCTATCATTTCCCTCTAGATTTATTTTTTTTAACATTTACATCCAAGCATTTAATAAAACTATCACTCTAACATATTAGGAAGAGAACTAAGGGAGTTCTCAGATGTGAGATTTACAGCTGTTATTTAAATACAGATTTTGCAGACTCATCAGAAAAAAAAAAGTCATTCTTGCTGCTTGGAAAGCACCTCGGCCATCACAGCTGCTGCTCACAGCAAACACAGTACAGAATGATAATATTCAGCAATCATGTTCACAGATTATTAAGCACTATAAATTATTCTGAAAACTTGGTTTGATCTCAGAACATACAGAATCCATCGGTTTTGTAAACTGTGCTGCTCCCAAAGTAGATAATAGAAAGCATTACATAATTTTTCTACAATAGAGCAGTTGAATTGAAATGTTAAACAACCATTCCTAAAATAACTACGAATTTTAAAGCAATTCATCCTTTCTTTCGTGGGAAAAAATTACTTTGTCCCCAAACCTGTACCCATAAGCTCTTTACTATTCTTCACAAACTTGTTACAGATAGAGCTGCAACAAGAGACAATTCCTTTATATAAGGCATTGATACTATCTATCGATTTCAGTGAGAGCAGCATAAAGCAAAATGGACCAAATGCATCCAATTTTCTTAAAGTCTCAGAGGGTAGGAGCACATAACAAAATCAGTGGTGTTGTTTTGCTGTTTAGATCCTCTTTCTTAAGGTTTGAGTAAGTGAGAAAATCTATGGGAAACTGTTTGGGAATGGCTTTCTTCATAAATAAACAAATACAAATAGTTTGCTATCAATGTTGCTTAAAACACATTGTGCTTATTTATGTAGGAGCTTCTTCCCATGTTCCTTCTGTCATTTTTCCGATTGCCTGGACTGTAATGTCTCTCGCTGCCTTTGCCCTTTCTGCCCCCACCACTGCCTTTTCTAACTCCCTCGTTACATTCAGCGCTCTTTGTGCTTACTAATAAAACTTCAAGATACTCGGGGCTGGCTTTCCAAGTTGGAAGAGCACTGTCCTCCTCTTTGGAAGACCTGCTCTTTCTCCTTTCATCAGTGAGAGAATGGACCTGAGCTGGGTGCTGGGTGATGAACAGCCAGCGAAGGTGAGGGTCCAGACCACCAGCCCTTCCTCAGGGACTCATGGAGAGCCTGAGGGGGCAGACCCAGTGGCTCTGGGGCTGGGAAGGAGCATGAGAAGGGAAACCAACATGGATCAAAATAGTTGGCTAGAGTCCTGAAAGGGCCGTATTTGTCTCCTGCTTTATTTTGGATGTCAAATGCATCGCGAAATCCACTTGAAGAGTAGTATTAATTCAGGTAACTGATTTTATTTTGAGAGATACCTACCTTCTACTGACCATCTCAAGCTCTTCTTCTCAGAGATAACTAGCAGCTATGAGTTTCACATATCATTTAATCATTTGATACCATAAAATATATTTTCAGCCACAGCATTCTGCTTTCCCATTTGTACACATTGCTTTCATTTTGCTCAAGTGCCATCTTATCATATGAGAAAAGAGAAAAAGACATTGCCAGTTCACCCTCTGAACACCTCTTCCTATGTGTTCCTTGAATCCAGGCTGCTCTATCTTGTTTGTCTACTCTCCTACGTAAACAAGGGTAATCTTTCCTCATAGGGGAGTGTGCCCGTGACTCCTCCGCACAACACAAAGGAGTCACAGTGAAGCACTTCTTTATCCACAACAGCTTCAAGCTCATACAATATCAAATGGTGTGAAGGAGTAAGGAGCCAAGGTGGTTAACTTGAGCAATCCTGTGTGTAAATAACTCTGGCAGAGGGCCCAAAGAAAGGGGAGTACTATTTGCCTGGTAATGAACAAATGGCTGTATTTCCTGAAGGAAAAATATTTTTTCTACTATAGTGAGCTTTCCTTCAAAAAAGAAAAAAGAAAAAAAAAAAAGAAGAAAGTGATTTTCTCTACATAAAGTATTT